CTGTTTTCACAATGATCTTTATGAATCCAGCAATTGACAAGGTAAAAAAAAGTGAATCCTTTTGTGGTAACTTACTGATCACTTCAACCTGTTCTTTGTAGCTGTTCTAAATGAGCAGATGAAGGTGGCCGAAGGATCACCTGCTGAATATGAGAAAGAAATTGAAGAGCTGAAGGAACTGCTACCTGAAATTCGAGAGAAAATAGAAGATGCAAAGGAGTCCCAGCGTAGTGGGAATGTAGCTGAATTGGCTCTGAAAGCAACTCTGGTTGGTTTGGTTTCCTTTTCAAGTTTTGATAATAGCATGTTTGATATCATTGAAGGCATCATGGTATTTGTGCTCTATTTACTAGGAATCTTATTTATAACTTGGTTTCGAGGGAGTTGGAGGTCAGAAGGAATGTGAGCACTCATCTAGTTATTCCTATCAGACAGTATAATGCTTAAGTGAATATTCTCTGGAGCCAGACTAGGTTTGACATCTATCTTTGCTGTTTACTATGTGTGACCATGGGTGTGTTTATTTAACTTTTCTTTGCCTTAGTTGTCTAATTTGTAAAATAGGGGTGAAAATAGTGCCTGTATCTGATACTTCTGATGGTATAAGACAAATAGTATTTGTTTAACAATTGTAAACTATTGTTTCCATCGCTGAGAACTCCTCTGTATAGACTAGTGAGGTGTTGAAGGCTTTTAACCCCAGATTGCCTGGCTTTTCCTTTGGGTGCTAGGGTGTCAAGGTGATAGGATATGGATGGAGGGTTTAATTTAATATTAACATTCTCTCTGCCTATGCCCCAGGTGGGGGGATGGCAGGTAGTGGGTATGGGTAGAGGTGTTAGACGATGTTGCTACTATGTGGAGACCACTAATATTTGAGGTCTTAATCAGTTGCTTTGATGGTGGCTACCTGTTGTAGGACTGTGGGTGACCTGGTGGATTCTATCCTGGGACCCACCACTGGGGTTTGTCATCTTTCACAGGTAGAGAGTGCTACTTCAGGTTTCACTCCTAGTGTAGGAGGCTCTTCAGTCTCCATGGTGAGTATTTTTGTTTTCGATGTTATTTTTGATCTTTTAATACTAGGCCCCACCTTTTGACTCATAGATAGCTATTCATTGCTAACAAAGGCTTCCATTTTGCCAGATTGCCAGTAGAAAACCAACAGATGGTGCTTCCTCATCAAATTGTGTGACTGATATTTCCCACCTTGTCAGAAAGAAGGTAAATCTACATGTGGTCATTTCTCTTTTGCTCCAAATATATAACGAATACCTTTCCTTACCTTGTGTAAGTATTTGCAAAGGTGGTGATGATTTGCAATAAAGATAGTTTTCCTCCCTAGCCGGGAAGCTCAATTGGTTAGAACATCGTCCCAATATGCCAGTGTTGTTGGTTTGATCCCCAGTCAGGGCACACATTGATGTCTGTGTCGTCTCTCTGTCTCATAATTCAATTAAAAATAATAATTTTCCCTTGGCACACTTTTTTTTTTTGAAATCCTCACCCGAGGACATTTTTCTGTTTTTTGTTCAGATAGAGTAGGAGGAAGAGGGAGAGAGAGAGAAACATCGACGTGAAAGGGACACATCGAGTGGCTGCCTCCCGCACAGCCCTGACCTAACCAGGGCCGGGGACAAACTGCAACCAAGGCATGTGCCCTCAGTGGGAACCAAACCCGGATCTCTCTGGACTGCAGGCCAACGCTCTGACCGCTCAGCCAAACAGGCCAGGACTCCTGGCATACCTCTTGAAGCAAAACTCACCTGGCCAAAGGACTTAATCAGCAAAGCTACTGAGGAGAATTGGTTGGATCAGCCCATCTTCGGGAACTGGCCTTTTGCCTTTAGTTGCAATTGTTTTCTTTTGTGGAAGAGTCTTAACTCCTCCTTTATTCCCTGATTCAAATGTAGGATTTCAAACTTGTGGTTTGGTGGTTGTTCTGATCTACTCACCCCTACCCTACCCTTCCATTAGAAAGGCTGAATTGGTACGTTGGGGCAGAACAATTTATTCTGCAGTGTACATACTGGGCATCACCTCCTAAGGGTAGAGAAAGACCCTTAAGAGTTATGAATCCTGTTCCAGATCTTTGCATCATAGGGGAGGGGAGGGAAGGGGTGTTAAGCATGTGTTTTGCAGTTACCTTTTAAAAACATTAAACACATTTGTGAAGACTTCACAATTATATCTTTAGAGGAAACCAGAGGAAGAGAGTCCCCGAAAAGATGATGCAAAGAAAGCCAAACAAGAGCTGGAAGTGAATGGAGGTGGTGGAGATGCGGTCTCCAGTGGAAATGAAGTTTCAGAAAACATGGAGGAGGAGGTGGGCAGTTAAGCGGGGCTTGGACTCTTGCCTCATTTCCCCTTTTTTTCAGGGCCTGGGGAAACCAGTCCTCCCAAGTGCATGTTCCTCATCTTGAACCTGTTTGGATTGCTTGAGTGTAACCCTCATAAAAACAGGTTATTCAGGAAATAGTTTGGTATGGAACATAGGACATCTCATTGACCATTGGAACCTATATACATGCCACGGGTCCCCCTCTAATGAATGTATGAGAAGACAATTGGCAAGATGATTGGGTCATTTCTGCTTGTTTCTTTCTATGTAATATATGAACATTGGCTCTGTCAGCCCTATTAGAGTATTTATGAAATTGGCTTTATACTTTGGTCTTTGGCCCCGCTCAGCGGTTGGAGCGGCCCACAGACCAAAGAGTCTGGCTTGATTCCATTCAAGGGCATGTACCTCAGTTGTGGTTTCATCCCCCCCACCCAGGTTGGGGTTGTACGGGAGGCAACCAATTGATGTGTTCCTCTCTCCCTCCCTCCGAAAATCAGTGGGAAAATTTCCTAAGGTGAGGATAAATAAATAAAATTAAAAACTGGAAAATATACTTTGGTCTTTGCTCTGTTAGTGTAGAGAGAGCAAAGCGGAGTGTAGGAACCTGTTTTGGCTAGGCCTACTCAGTTGTATAAGATAGAATGGCTTGAACAAGGGTTACTTATGCCCAGGCTCCCTGTTTATCTTCCAGGCTGAGAATCAGGCTGAAAGCCGGGCAGCAGTGGAGGGGACAGTGGAGGCTGGAGCTACAGTTGAAAGCACTGCATGTTAAGAGGGAACAGAGACTTCCTCTCAAGGGAAAGTGTTTTTGTATATAATGTATTTTTTCACTTTTGGGGGATCTTTTTGTATAACTTCAATAAAGATTGTACACAAAGGTTGAGGCTTTGATTTTTTTTTTTTCCCCCATTAAATATTGGCTGAATCTGTGCCTTGGAGCACTTTGGTTTTATATAATGGCCAAAGGTACTTTCCCCCCTTTTTCTGTACTGATTCTGTTGAAAGTTCTAATTCAAATTCTTGTCTGTTTAATGTGGAGGTGATCGAATCAAGTGTGGTTGCTGGCTCAGTGGTGCTATATTTTTTCTGATTTAAATACTTGACTGAACCCATCTGTCTTGCACACTTTTGGTGGTGCTGTCCCTGGATGGAGGACTACAAAAACAAGACTCGCTGAAGATCTTGCTTTTTGGTGCTGATTTTGTGTGGTGGGCTCTGTGAGCTGATAATAGCCTCTAAGCCAGGCCTTGGGTGGTACCTGTCTTTTATTCCTCTATTCCAAAATAATCCTGTCCTTGAGGGTGGGGTGGGAACTTAAACCTTGAGGGGAGTGATCCTTGAGGAAAACTGGTGTGCTGATTGTAGTGAATTGAGCCTTCTGCTCTGAAAGTGGCTAAGGGACTGACCTGATGGACACTTTGGATGAGGTTGGAAGAATCTGAGAGGCTGACTGGTTGAGTTATATTTTTTTCTGTACAGAAAGGTTTAACTGTATCAACACTTGGAATTGTTACCCGTCTACAGTTTTGATTTCTCAAATAAAGATGTTTAAAAAAACACACACAACTGGTCTGGACTTGTATGTAAAGATCTTGTGTATAAAGAGTGGGATCCTCGGCTTCCTGGAGCATTTCAGTGTGGAACTGTGGTTGACAGGCAGAAAATGGCCCAGTCTGAGGGTGCTGGTGCTGGTGCTCCAGGATCTGGTACTTAAAGCCGTCTCATTTGGGTTTTCACTGATGTCCAAGGCACAGAGCAAGTGTGAGACTGGCTGAGCAGCATCTGACCCTGACCTGTTAGGCACTGGGAACTATTTGGCTCCAGATTCCAAATGGCCTGCCCTAAATTATCTAAGGGGATTTAATTGACACCCACAGGGCTACTTGACTGGGTGATTCAGGCAGTAGGTTACAACCTGGCTTTTTCAGCTCTGCTGACCCCCCAAGTGTAAACCCCATACTCCAGTTTATATTTTGTTCTCTAAATGAAATGGTTGGAGGGGGGAGTTCTGGGATGGTTACTATAACTTGTGGCTGTAGAATCTGGCCATGAACCTCCCTCCAGAAGATGCCCTTCTATTGCAAGTTCCAAGTCTTTGTGTGTGGGGGGGTGGGGAGTAGTGGGTGGGCCAGCACAGTCACGGCATACTTCACTCCCAGGACTTTGGTATTTGGTTCACACTGGAGTCGGGCCATGCCCAACATAAAATTCCAGCTAGATTTCACACATCTCAAACACACACACTACTTGGAAGAAACATTGGCTTTGGGTCCTATTTATGGGGACCTTGAGAGCCTGGAAGTCTTTCTGGGGGATGTCCTGAGAAAACTTAGATTTGAATGAAGTATGGCAATGAAACTGACTTTGGCAAAAACAAAAACGGGTGGGCATGAGTTTATCAAGTTTCTTAGCTGTGATTAAAGAGTGCACCTCTAGTCACCTTTCAAAGGATTTTCTACATAGCAGGTAATACTGTAAATACATGACAATATTTAATGCTCTCGTCAATCTGCTTTACAAAAGGAAAACAGGTAAAGAAAGGCCAAATACTTGTAGAAGGTGGTAAAGCTATGGTTGGGGCTCACATTTTGTGCTCATCTGCTTTTTTGCTTCTAGACCCTCCATCAGAACAGTAGTCAAAATGCATGTCTGGGAATAGGCCTAAGTTAGGATCTAATCCTGTATGTGTTAAAACTATTCTTACCACATTCTCCTGGACTCAGAAAGCCAGTGGGGGTGGATTAAAGCTGGTGAGGGCCCAAACCTTCATCTCTACCCTTGACTCTGCTGCTAAGGGGCTCTTCTGCGGGAGGAGGGGGATCAACAAAGCCAGCCTTTGGGGCAAGTGAGCTGGCTTCCAGTGAAGATGAGCTGTACACCTGTGGAATGGAGAAGGCAGGTCTTTAACAAGCTTATGTAGAGGTTAACAGCACTAAGTTCTGTTGGTGGTGACTTGGCACATAGTTGTCAACAACAGCTGGCTACTACCACACCAACACCCATGGTGTCCCTAGCTCTAATTGAGCCCTCACCAGAGGTGGGTACTGGTACTCATGGGCACTGGTTGGATTGATCTCTGCCAGCATTTGAATAACTGCATCTCTTGCATTCATCAGCCGCAGAAAGAGCTCAGCCTGACCCACCTGGGGAGAGGTGAAGTGATACTGTATCTGTACCTTCAAGTTGACCCAGTCATTCCCATTTTCCACACTCACCTGGGGAATTCCATTTAGCTGCCCATGGCTAAGGCTGGGATCCAGAGGAAGGGCCCGAAGTGGGAGTCGCCAACGGCCACTTAGTACCCTCTGATCCTGGTCAAAGAGCACCAGCGAGGCCCAGGCCTTTGGTTGTGGTGCCCTAGCCCAAGCCAGTCCATGCCAGGCTTGTAGCTCACAGACTAAGGATACTGATGGTGAGGGTGGTAGTCTAGAACAATGAATAGATATCAGAAGCTAGAATTGGTTTTATTCCCTTTCTTGAACTTGGCCCTCAGAGCCAGTGCCCCTGTATACAAACAAGAAAACATAGCAAGGGGCACCCAAGTCATAATTCCCACCTACTGACCTGAGTACAGGCTGCCTGCTGGCAAGGATGGCACAGTTGCCCATGGGCCCAGGAGCTGGAGGAGGGGGCAAACAAACGGCTGGGGGCAAAGCTGTGGTCCCTCCTGTATACTGTCCATCTCGGGCCAAGCCAGTCATCAGTTGCACCCAAATCCAAGATGCCTCAAGGCCCCGCAGGAAGTCATAGAAAATGACCAGGCCAGCCCTGGGAACACATCTCAATGCACCTCCTCCAAAATCCCAGTCAGTTCCCCAACCCTAGCTGGACTTTAACCAGCAATGGTGACTAAGTCACAGAGGATGTCAAAGGAGGGAGTAGGTCTCACCCAGGGTCATAGGGTGCAGGGCCCAGAATGTCATCTGTGGGCAGGACAAAGTGTGGATTCAAGCCCAGGTTTCTGGTTATGGCTCCAGGAAGCTGTGGCTGTGGGGAAGAGTTGAGTCCTCTAGAAAGCTTGCTAGGTGCCTATGCTCCCCGAGTTACACAGAGCAGAGCTGCCCCCACTCCAACCCCTCAGTCCTCACAGTCTTTTCTGTGCCACCCAAGAATAGGATGTCTGTGGAGTGTAGAAGCGGTGGCAGCGGGGGAGCCACTGGTGGTGGGAGGCGTGGGGGATCTTCCCTCCTCAGGAGTGGGCTGGGATTGGCTACAAATTGTGGCTCCCTGGACCCTAGGTGCAGAGGAAGAGTAGGGACTCCTGAGCAGGAAGCAGCAAGTAACTGGGCTGAAATATCCCCGAGAGCCCAACCTCCATACACAGACACCTGAAGATGCACACAAGGACACAGTCGCGGCCCAAACATGCGCCTCATTCCCCACGCATAGTCTTTCCAACCCCTTCCTCTAAACCCGGACTTCTGGCGAGGACTAGGCAGGGTGGGGTTGGGGTGCTCACTGACCCCAGGGTGCCTGACCTGTGCCCCTCTGCATCTGCAAAGCCAGGATTTCTGCCTCCAGGCGCCGGTTTTCAGCCTCCACTACTAGAAGCTCCCGGGACGTGGAACCTGCCCTCCTTCCTGTGATGAAAAAGTCTGACCTGTCACTTCTGACCTCTGATGATCAACTTGGTCCGGCTCTGAGCAGCTCACCGGCCGTAGGACCATCTGGACAAGGGTGGACTTGTTAGCTAACATTTGCTTAGGAGGTTCCCATGACAAATATGTCCTCCATCACCGCCCCTTTTCTCCTTCCAAGATTAAGACCACCGCTTCTGAGAAACCCTCTTGGCTGGCCCCTCCTGTTCACCCCTGCGGGTACGTGACCGCCGAAGCTCCAGGGCTGATGCCTCCACTTGCATCTGCCACATCTGGCCCAGAACGCCGGGGTCCTGGCCCCCACCTCGAATGTAGGACTCACGCAAGGCTCTAGGGAGTTGGGGACAAGAAGGCAACAGCGTCTTTTCCAGACTGATCAGTGCTTCAACCCATGCCCGACTCCAGACCCCGGACCTCACCCGATCTCAGCAGCCAGAGTCACTGGTTGGGACTGTAGCACTGGACAACAAAGTTCTGTCTCTCGCGAGTTTAGCCAGGTCCTGGAGTTGGGGGCCACCAGGCGGGGAGACGTTGTCATGGATCCACACCTCCTGCCGACCCGCCCCTTCCTGAACTCACGCTTGCAGTCTTCCCGCTATTTCCGGACCCACGTCTTGTGCGCAGCGCGCCCCTCCCGGGCTCCCCAGACCCGGGGCCGGGCTGGCAGACCCACGGCGCGGCGCTCCGGGAAGCCGCGCGCCGGATCTTACCGGGGCTCGGACTGTAGCTGCTGAACGCGCGTTCCTAACACCTCTAGAGCTCCCCTTGTTCGCCCAGCCTCGGCCCGGAGTTCTCCAAGCTCCCGCTCCAGGCCTAATAGACGTGATATACCGCTCCGGGTCTGGGCCAAACCTTGGAGGCGCCGTTTCAGTTCTAAGAGACCAAGTGTTTGAGCAACTTTAGATCAAGGGGTGAGTACCTAGTCCCCTTCCCTCCCCTCCCTTTTCCCCTCACCTTCGCGGCGTAGCTCCAGAGCCTGGCTCTGTGCCTTTGTCTCCGCCGCACGCCTGGTGTGAGTAAGGTGCAGGGCCCGCAGCCGCTCGCCGGGGCTCCCAGCAGACTCTGAATTGGGGCCCTGGGTTGGAACCTCTGAACGCTCCCAGGGCCCCGCTGACCCCCTGGGAATTGCTGTTATCCAGGGTTGCATTTCATGCAAGTACAGCCGCAGTCCCTGCACCTAGAGATAACATTAACCCGCGATACCCGTGTAGGGGTAATCTGACCCTTAATATCTATCTAAAGGTTTGGAGAGGATGCTCAGTTTCGAGCCCGTGGGTAGTGCCCAATGTACCTCTTCTGTTAGCCTCCTTAGAGCCGATTTGCTGGCCTCCTGGTCTGGAAAGCCCTGGTGTTCCTGTGACACAAGCTATACACAGTGTGTGGGATGAGGAATCCCGAGGGTCAGGGTAGCTTGAATACCCAGCCATGGCCATGGCGGAGGCTCTTACCATGGGGCCTCGTGGTTCAGAGGCTTTTGAAGGCTGTGCTCCAAGTGTCACCTCCTGGGTTAAACGGCCAATGCAGAAGTGCTGAGTATGAGTGGCCAATAGGGCCCAGGAGCGGAAAACCATGTCACAGGATCCACAGGGCAGGAGCCCTGGCTCCCCAGAGTGGGAGGCCATGGGATGGGACCTCTTCTCTTACACCAAGCCAAGACCTGCAGAAGATAGGACAGAGAGCAGGAGAAAGGGAGAGGAGGATGAAACAGAAAGCCAGAGGCAGAGAGGAAAGGCCAGGTTTATTGGGTCTACAATAACAAGTTTGTTTGGGGAGGAGCCTTAGCTCCCTGGGCAGCAACTACAGGCCTAGGCAGGTCTGGAGAATGGGTGTGGAAGGCTTGGTCACCTTTGGGAGGAGGCCCTGGATTGAAAAAGTGTCACAGAGTTTGCTCCACCTCATTGCTTGAGATGGGTAAGTCTCTAATACTAATACTACATCTTAGTTTTTCTGCCTATATTAATAAAATAAAGGGGAATAAAGAGCTGCCTCCTAGACTCACTGGGCCCATATAACACACTCCATCATTGGCCATCTAATGGCCTCTGGCAGAGAAGTGTTATCTTATTCATTCTTGTTTTGCCCAAGTGGATGTAACCCAAGTTAGTATCTTTCTACATTCCTGGAACACATGAGAGAGCACCCATTCTGCCTTGTCTGCCTTTATGAGCATTCTGCCAAGAAATAATGTCCTTTTTTATTCTCAAAAAGCTTTGTTATCATTTGGTTCAGGGCATGGAAGAGGGCTCCTGGTTGGTTAAAAGGCTATACCTAGCCCTGGCCGGTTTGCTCAGTGGTTAGAGCAACAGCCCGTGGACCAATGAGTCACGGGTTTGATTCTGGTCAAGGCACTTACCTCAGTTGTGGCTTGTCCCCAACCCAGGTAGGGGTTGTGCGGGAGGCAACCAGTTGATGTCTCTCACGTGGATGTTTCCCTCTCCCTCCCTCTCACTCTATCTGAACAAAAATGGAAAAATATCCTCCAGTGAGGATTAAAAAATAAAAGGCTGCCCTGGCCGGTTTGGCTCAGTGGTTGGAGTGTTGGCCAGAGGACCCGAGTCCTGGGTTTGGCTCCCACTATGGGCAAGTACCAAAAAAAAAAAAAAAAGTCTACCTAGTGGCTGCAGGGAGAGGCTCAAGCAGAGAAGCCTGACACCAGGAAGATGCAGAGGAGCCCCTCAGAGGTCTCTGGGCTCCCAAGGCTCATAGTCATATTTGAGGGTGAGCCTTTTAAAGAGATACTTGTCTAGACCAGTCTGGGGACCAGCTGGTCTGTGGAGGTTAGTCAGGTGGTCACCCGTATCCTTGTTGAATTTCACTTCATCTAGGAAGTGACTCTCCAGGAAGTTAACAAATGATCTTTGTGTGCTTGAACCCAGGTCATGCAGCCCCAAAACGGCGAGCTTCAGGTTCTTCTCCATGACCACGGCAGCTTCTATGGCATCCTGGGTTTTACCCCGCTCACCTTGGAAAGACTTTTGCATGTCGTGGAAGAGGGTGCAGCTGCCTTGCTTGTTTTGCATCTTTAAGAGATGCTTGGTGCCCTTGTGCTTCTCCCTAGCCTTCTTGGGAAGTGACTCTCACACTCCAGAGCCACATCCTTGGGTCAAAATAGTAGCCCAAAGAGGTTTTTTTTTTTTTAATCCTCACCCGAGGACACTTTTCCATTTTTTGTTCAGATAGAGTGGGAGGGAGAGAGAGGACAAGAGAGAGAGACAGAAACGTCGATGCGAAAGGGACACATCGAGTGGCTGCCACCCGCACGACCAACCAGGGCCGGGGACAAACTGCAACCAAGGTACATGCCCTTAGCGGGAACCGAACCCGGGTCTCTCTAGACCACAGGCCGACACTCTAACCGCTGAGCCAAACCGGCCAGGGCCAAAGAGGTTTTTGAGGACTGCAGATGCAAGTTAACCAGGCAGTTGATGGTGGCCTCCACTTTGGTGAAATTATTCTGACAAATCTGGGAGCTCATGGTTGCTCAGCAAAGGAGTTAAGCTCACAAAATGGTGTTGGGCTGCTCCCAAAGGCAGGGGATCACTGAGATGGTTCTGAAAGTTGTGACTGGAAAAGAGGTTGGAGGGTGGTGAGAGGCTGGAAGAAGGGGCGTCACTGAGTCTGTTCCATCCAAACATTGTTGAAGCAAGAGGCAGATCTGCAAGACCACTGACATGCTCCTGTGTCTTTCACCTAGACTGAAAAGTTTTCCTTGCACTAGGCCTCTCTGGAAGCAACCATAGCTTCTTTCTTGTTTTGTTTTTTTTTTATCCTTACCCAAGGATATTTTTCCATTTTTTGTTCAGAGTGGGAGGGAGGGAGGGAGAAGAAGAGAGAGAGAGAGAGAGAAACATCGACGTGAAAGGGACACATCGAGTGGCTGCCACCTGCACGACCAACCAGGGCCGGAGACAAACTGCAACCGAGGTACATGCCCTTAGCGGGAACCGAACCCGGGTCTCTCTGAACCGCAGGCTGATGCTCTAACTGCTGAGCCAAACTGGCCAGGGCGCAACCATAGCTTTTTCATAACCAAGGCCCATTAAAGCTAGCAGTTTCTCCCTGACTCCCAATCCCTGATTCCTGTTTTTCCAACTAGAGAGGGAAGATAATCAGAGCAGTACAAGGAATGAAAGGTCTGGGAGAGCATAATGCATCTATCAGATGAAGGAATCAAGTACAAAAAGGTACTTGACACCAGCCAGGGGCTAAGCAGGCCCTTTCCTGCTGGCCAAATCTCCCCATCACCTCCCCCCACCCCCAATATATGTATACATCAGAGGCAGGATCTCTGAGCTAGCCCCAGGTTTCTAAACAAGATACCTTTTCTAAGTACGTCATGGACTTATAGTAGTGCCCTCCCACCCACCACTCACTGGTACATAAGGCCAAACAAGGTATGACCAGCAGCAGCAGGTTATAAAGTATTTCAAAGTATGTGATCTTAGTCCAGCTTAATTCCAAGTGACAAAAAGGGCACATTTTTATTTGATTAAAATTTTTTTTTCTTTATTGATTTTAGAGAGGGAGAGAGAAAGAAACATTGATGAGAGAACATCGATTGGTGGCCTCCTGCACACCCCCCACTGGAGATTTGGCCCATAACCTGGGCATATGCCCCAACCAGGAATTGAACCAGCAACCTCTTGGTCAATGTTCAACCACCGAGCCACATTGGTCAGGTCACACTTTTATTTTAAAAAAAATTTTTATGGATTTGTTTTTTAGAGTGAGAGGGAGAGATAGATACATTGCTGTGAGAGAGAAACATCGACCAGCTGCTTCTAGCATGCCCCCCGACTGGGGATCAAGCCCGCAACCTTGGCATGTGCCTTGACTGGGATTCGAACCAGGACCTCTTAGTCCATGGGATGATTCAATCCACTGAGTCATACCGGCTGGGCAAGAACACATTTTTAGAAATTTATTCTGAGAAAGCTAGTAAGTGGCAAAGCCCAAGGCTAACCAGGTAGACTTATTTCTATCTCAACCTACTTCTCATTTTGTTTAATACTTGTGCAGCAGTTCATTTTATAATACAGCCATGCTGCTTAATGATGGCAATCCATTCTAAGAAATTCCTCACTAGGTAATTTCATCATTGTGCAATCAGAGTATACTCACAAACCTAGATGGTACAGCCAACTTACTATACACCCCTAGATTATATGGTGTAGCCTGTAGCTCCTAGGCTACAAGCCTGTACACCATGTGCAAAACAGATTAAATCAGACACAAGAGAAACTTATATAATCAAGAGACATGGTAAGCATAATATATGAGGCTGCTCTCAGCATAACACAGCATAGTGCTTTACAGCAAACATTTAATATGTAGAAAGAGTACATTCCAAAGTAATGATAAAGCATGGCCACTGTGCAAGGATGACACGCAAATTCATGAAGCGGTCCAAAAATTAAAAATGAAGTGATGATATAAAGTATAGTGATTACATAAACCAGTTGAGTCATTTATTATCAAGTATTATGTATGGCATATAACCATATGTGCTATGCTTTTATACAACTGGCTGGGCAGGTGTGTTTACACCAGCATCATCACAAACACTTAAGTAATATGTAGTGCTTATGATGGCTGTCACCAGGTGATGGGAATTTTTCAGCTCCATTATAATCTTATGGGACCACTGTTGTATAGTCGGTCTGTTGTGACTGAAACGTTTATGTGGCACAAGAATGTATTTCATTGATTCTAAGATGCATATTTATTTTTTAATTTTCTTTACTGATGTTAGAGAGGAAGGGAGAGGAAGAGCGAGAGAGAAACATCGATGAGAATATCAATTGGCTACCTCCTGCATGCCCCTCACTGGGGATCAGGCCCACCACTGGGGCATGTGCCCTGACTGGGAATTGAACTGGTGACCTCTTGGTGCATCGGTCAATGCTCAACCACTGAGACACACAGGCCAGGCTAAGATGCATATTTTTAAACTCTGAAATCAGATTCACAACCAATGGAGTGTCATAATTTATTTTTTGTTAATCTTCATCTGAGGATGTTTTTCCATTCATTTTTAGATAGAGTGGAAGGGAGGGAGGGAGGGAGGGAAGTATCAATGTGAGAGAGACATTTGCCTTGTAAATCGAACCTGAGGCCCTTTGGTCCTTAGGCCAACGTTCTAAACAGGGCCAAACTGGCCAGGGCTGCAGTCATAATTTAACTGGCCAATTTTCTCTTATTAGTACATAAAATAATGTCTTAAAGTATATATTTCCATGAAATACAATATTTTTTAATCCTCACCTGAGGATATTTTTCCATTTATCATCAGATAGAGTGGGAGAGAGGGAGGGAGGGAGGAAGGGAGGGAAGGAAGGAGAGAGAAACATCAATATGGGAGACACATCGACTGCCTGCCTCCCACATGACCCCGACCAGGGCTGGGGATGAACCACGACTGAGGTATATGCCCTGGACTGGAATCTAACCGGTGACTCACTGGTCTGCGTGTGGACACTCCAACCGCTGAGCCAAACCAGCCAGAGCCACGCTGTAGTTCTTAACTGCTCTATCTTAGCCACTATTTTCACAGCTTGCACATGGACTGTTTATACCACTAGCAGAAGAGACTCTAGTACAGTATTGGCAGATATGGTCTCTG